ATGGCATCCAACCTAAGAGCCATGGCCTCCAACCTAAGAGCGATGGCCTCCAAAACCTAAGAGCCATGGCCTCCAAAACCTAAGAGCGATGGCCTCCAAAACCTAAGAGCCATGGCCTCCAACCTAAGAGCGATGGCCTCCAAAACCTAAGAGCCATGGCCTCCAAAACCTAAGAGCGATGGCCTCGAAGACGCCACTGGATGAGGCAGTGAAATGTCTATTTCTTTTAAGAGAAAAACAACAATAAGCCAGGAGACAGCCACGGCTGGAGGGTCATTGCTCTGAACTGAGACAACAAAGGCGAAGGTCGGATCTCATCCTTCCAGTGCCCAGGCGCATTCGCCCCAAAGCTCCCCAAGGTACTGGTGTAGGCCACTCCACCATCTCATCAGGCACCAAGTCAGCGGACGTGGGCTGCAAAGATTGGTACCGTTCAGCGACTGCAAGATGTAGGTCCCGAAGCAGGCCCAACTGCTGTCTATGCTGGTCAACCCAGTGTTTGTGCCGTTCCCATGCAGTCCTGGCTTGGTGCCTTGCTCAATCTCCAGAAGCCCTGGGCCACGTAGGCCGAATCAGTCCAAACAGTGCATTCCACCTGATGCACTCAAGCACAGCCAACACTGCAGTAAGCGCTGCCCGTTGGGTACTTTGTTCCCATCCAGCCATTGGCAAGCATGCCAAAGTGGTACCATGAGAAACTGAAACGGCCGCCCAACCCGCTAAACATAAGGCTTCATCAACCCGACGCAAAAACAAAAGTGTCACAGAATCTGCCGTTTGCGTTTCCACCCAAAACTGACGCGGCATTTTTTCAAGACGCGTAAGACCTCCAAAAGCTATCCCCTAGAGGAGAGCCATAGTGTGATCATAAAAGTTGACAACACTTGCGAACACCTCGGCAAGTCAGCTGTGCGAACATAGCTCTCCCCCCACGACCGAGTTCAATCCCTTTGCACATGTTGAAAATTAACAAAAATGCAATAGAGATAATAGAGTAATAAATGTGATGTTTTGTTTCTTTTAGTTGTTTTTATCCTGATTTGTTCCCCAAACTGTGTTCACAGTAGTGGTTCTTACGGCAGGAGTTAAGGACGGGTGTCTGATGAGAGGTGCTCGCATCCGCCGGCGGCTCTGTCGCTGCTACTTACAATAATATATTCCATGCACTAAAAAATTATTCCAGGGTACCATGTAACCTATTGGATCTATTGGAATATTTTTTCTGGAATAAGTTTCCTGGAATATTTTTTGGCGGGGTGGGGTATCATGCTGACAGACCATGGAAATATGCTTGAATCTTCGACCTCTGGCATACCCCCTGAATATTGTTTAAAACTTTTGTAATATGTAGGTCAAGGACCCCCAGAATAAGTATTTATATGTAGAGACTGTAGAGAGATGTGGGGGGGGATGAATTCAAGAGAGAGTTTTGCAATAGGTTTGCAATGATTTGCATATGTTGGAAGCAGATTGGAGTGTCATGGATTGTTGCCGGCGTGTAAAATTATTCCATATGTATGTTACCTCTGGAAGACTCACTGAATATTTTCTAAGGCAAGGTTTCAGCTAAATATAGCGTTTACTGTATATAAATATAAATTTTCAAGGGGGGATTAATAAGCGTCCATTAAACTATTCCAAATGTCAAATGAAAATAGAATAGTATTCACAATTTAGGTGGTGGGTATGCAGAATATTTCTTTTATTATTATTCTGAGGGGGTATCTACATGGGGGGCCCATCTAAGGCATGGTATATACAATAATTACATCAATTTACCTAGAGCGAATCGAAGTGCATTTCCACTGCGCTCTCGTTGTGGTGCCGCGCTCATTTTCATAGCCCTTGCTAAAACTCTAATACAGTTGGGGTGTGCTTGAGAGAACGTTCTCCATACGAATTGGAATTTTATTGAGCTCAAGGGCCAGGAAATAAACATAGCTTCCAGGTTTAAGAGCTTGGTAGATTGTTTTAGTAATGAGCCGGGGTGTCACATCAGATAACTGTTTATGAGGTTGGCCCCCTGGTAACTACAATATACTACGGTAGCTTGTTGTAGAGGGTGTTAGATGATATGCTTGCCATGGACGTAAAACCATAAGACCCCCACAGGTTCTCATGCAGCAAATTCCTGGCCGCGTTCATGGCTACTATGGCCTCGCACGGCCTATCATTTGTTTGTTGTTGGTGAGGTTAGATCCCTGGTGACTTTTGGTTGCGAATCTTGAGGTGCAGATTACGTGGCAGGCGCAATACTTTGTGCACCTTGAAGCTCAGATTTCATAGCAAGGCGCCAGTACTTTGTGGACCTTGAAGTGCAAATTTCCTGGCAGGTGCAGCAACTGTGTCCCCCCAGAACTCTGGACCAGATCTGCAAACTTTATGCCTGCACCTGGTTTGTGAACCTCCATCATCGCCGCCATCACCACCACCACCATCATTACCATCACCATCACCACCAAAACTACCATCACTACCACCACCATCACCCCTCTTTGGAGCCCAATGTCTAGATCTCTAAACCTTTTGCTTCTACACCTTTAGACCGTAGACAGGTAAACACATGAATTCCATGCATTCATGTAATGCATTTGAATATTTTGCATTATTTTACTCTTTCACTGATCATCTATGATGTTTTCTCCATTTTGTTTCGTCAGGTGGCGAGCGCCGGCGTTTGGCCTTTGCCACGGAACTTTTGACGGAGCCCACGTTGCTTTTTGCCGACGAAGCGACCAGTGGCCTTGACAGCGCCATGGCGTGCCTAGGCGGGCGATTGGAACGAGCGACTAGGAGAGGCACATAAAAGCAGAGCGCACATAGGCTCACAAATCGCGGAATGATGATTTGACTTCAATCAAGATTTTGGGGTAAACGTCCTTTTTGGACGTGTGTTCTTCGTTTCTTGATTTTTTGCACCTTCTTAGTTAACAGTTAACTAAGTTGGCGGCTACTCACTTAAGTAAGGCCTCAACAAACTATGCAGGATGTTTTACTTGCAACTCGACGCAGGATAGTTCACGTTTGCCTAGATGTTTGGGGAACTTAACGTTGAGTGTCACCAATTCACGGCCCAACTGCCAGGACGCTTCGCCAAAGCACCAAAGATTACGACGCGTTCGCACGATACTAAGAAAATAAGAAAAAACTCAGGGATGGCCTCCAACCCACTAGGGATGGCCTAGTAGCAATGGCCTCTAACCTACTAGCGATGGCCTCCAACCTAAGAGCAATGGCCTCCAACCTAAGAGCGATGGCCTCCACCCTAGTAGGCCTGCAACCTAAGAGCGATGCCCTCCAACCTAGTAGCGATAGCCTCCAAAGACTTCTAGAGTACGAATTAGGAAGCTGTCACACAATACTTCTAGTGAAAGAGAGGCCACATCACTGCGCATGAAATCTGCACATCGTATAAGAGCTGGTGCGAAAAGCCAACTTGACAGCGCCAAAAGACCAGGGAGCCCAAACGCAACAAAGAAGCTACTGAAGGGACAAGAAGCTACTAGTAACAAACACCACAAGAGTGCAGTTGCCAAGCATCCACGATTATGGTTACCAAAGCTCAGCACCTGCCACAAAGAAGATTGATTTGTCTTTTTCGCCGACCTCTCCCCCTACGACTCAATTCAGTGAGCGTGAAGTAAGCTACTAGGAATAGGAAGCTACTAAACATGGACGCAGGATAGTTCCCGCTTCTTCAAGGAAGCGCTCGCACTTGTAGCCGACATTGTAACAATAAAAACCCTTTAGTTGCGAGCAATCTGAACTTCAATCACCGACTTCTTAGAAGAGACTTGGAGAATCTTCAGCTACTTGGAGGCCATGGCTTTGAGGTTGGAGGCCATCGCTCTTAGGTTGGAGCTTTGGGGGTCTTCTAGTAGCAAACATTGCTCCAAGTAGTAAGGCCAGAAGCCCCTAGTAGCTTTCAGTTCCAATTCTAATCAGATGTTAAATTCTAAGTATTGTTTCTAATAGCTTCTTGTCACTAGTAGCGATGCCAGGAGCCCCTAGTAGCATCCTTTGCTCCTAGCAGCGATGCCCTTTGCTCCGTTCGTAGCGTCCTCTTCCGACTGCGGATCATTCGGCCAAAGCAATTGATGGCACACTTCGCGTTTGGCTGGCACACTCCACAATGCGTTTAGATGAAGTACGCTATGTGCATGAGTTTGGGGCGTCATTGACAGTTCCTAATGAGAGCCTTCCACACAGTTTTTGAGGCTAAATGTGGCAAAGCTTTTGCACGGCTTTGCGCGAGATGGTGCTGTAAAGAAGACTGTATTGGCAACCATTCACCAGCCGAGCGAGGAAGTGTTCAACTTGTTTGACAAAGCCGCTTAGCAGCAATGGCCTCCAACCTACTAGCCTTCTTGCTACTAGTAGTAAGAATGCTCCCAGTAGCGATGCCAGGAGCCCCTAGTAGCGTCCTTGCTCCTAGTATATAAGGTCAAAAGCCCCTAGTAGCCTTCAACCTGGCGTTGATGAGTCGTTGGGAGTCGACAGCATTTGTCAACGAAATGTCAAGAAAGTTGTGTCCAGATGGTTGGCTGATCGCCCGGAGGGTTCGATTCCAAAACAGTCAAGAAGGACATACACGCCGCATCATTGCTACTACTAGCAAGAAGCTAGTAGTAACAATGGCATCGCTACTAATAGCATGAGTAGGTTGGAGGCCATTGTCAGCAGCAATAAGGCCATCGCCACTAGTAGCAAGAATGCTACTGGAGTACTGGAAGCTAGGGCATTACTACTAGTAGCAAGGACGCTCTTAGGTTGGAGGCCGTTAGGGTTTAGAAAAGACGCCCACGTTCCGGCAATCTCAAGTAGGTGCTCATCTTGGTGGAAGGCCGCACCGTGTACTTTGGAAGCCCCACGGGTGGGCTGAAGCACTTCGCATCTTTGGAATTGCTTTGTCCTCACGACGAGAGCCCTCCCGACTTCTTCATGAGGTGCGTCGCGACTGACGCCGGAGAGGATGCCGAGCGCATCGAAGCCAAAGCAAACATGGAGAAACTCTTGAAGGCTTTGCCTCAGTGCGATGCATTTCAATCGGCTGACAAGGCTGAGAAGAACGTTTCAGATGGCGATGCATTTCAATCATTGAGAGGTTCAGGCCTAGTGGCAGTGTTGACTTTGATCCGCCGGGAGTTCCTGATCCGAAGGAGGAGCAAAATAGTAGAGTCTCCTTGTTCCTAGTAGCGATGCCGGAGCCCTTAGTAGCGTTCTTGCTCCCAGTAGCGATGCCAGGAGCAAAATTCTGTTCAAGGCCATGATTGCACGGACCTTCTTCATGGCACTCTTGTTGGGATTGCTTTATTGGCAACTTCCAAATGATCAAACCAGTTGGCAAAGTGTCATGGGTGCTTTGAACATGGTCATGATCAACACCTTCATGACGGCGGGCTTTGGCCTCACCCAAGAGCTTCCTCATGCCTTCCGCCCAGCCTTCCGAAAGGCTCGCGCTGGCCTCCCGGACCAAAGTAGCAAGCTGTGTTTTGCCAGCGCCCCTAGTAGTGTCCTCTTGTTGAAAAGCGGGTGTTTAAGAAAAATAGTAGATTTTTGCTCCTAGTAAGTAAGGCCGGGAGCCCCCCAGTAGCGTCCTTGCTCCCAGTAGCGATGCCCGGAAAAGAGGCCGCTAGAGGTACCTAGTAACAAGTAAGCTTCTAGGTACGGGACGCTGCTACCTTGGACTGAGCTCACACTTCTTCAAGGAAGCTCACATTATATTCATTTGGTTACTAGCTTAACCTTAGGTTTGATACCAATTCCTTGCAGAATTTGATTGCCTTTTAGCAAGGAAAGTATTCTGCCTAGAAGCCCGTCTTCGTTGCTTGAGAAGTTCCAGTGATGCCCATGTCCTCCTCTAACAAAGGATAGCTATGAATTCAAAAGTGGCAAGCCCCGCTGTGAGAAGTACAGCGTGGTGTGGAACACTTAAAAGTCTACATAGCACAGTAGTGAGTCGCCAAAGAGGCCATCGCTATTAGATGGAGGCCACCGCTTGTAGGTTGAAGGCCATTGCTTGTACCTGGAGTCGCCTCAAGGTATGTATTCGATCTCTGCGTGGTTTTGGTCAAAGACGATCAGTGACCTTCCGATCGACATCATTGGTGCCTTCTGCGGGTCTTCAGTAATCTTTGTCATGACCGGCTTGGGGAACAGCGTCGCCTCGCAGCTTGAAGAGGTAAAATTCAGCAGTTTGATGGCTTTGGAAGAGCAGGGGGAAATCCTTTGTTTTTGGCCCGCTCCCCTCCTCCGTTACTTAATTAAGTAAGCGCCTACCTAATTAGATAAGGGAGAGGTAGCTAGTAGCTACAAGTGAGCTACTACATGCTGGACGGCGGGGGGAGCTTCCTTGAAGAAGCGCTCGCACGAATGATTTGGTTTGTAGATTTTGAGGGGAACTTACCCTAATAGCAATGGCCTGCAACCTAATAAGAAAGGAGAAGGGGCACAGGAAAGAAAGAGATTTGGAAAAAGGTGTCGAAAAGAGTGTCTACCTTTTTTTTACACGTAGAAAACCCGTGCATTCTTTTTTGTTGTTTTCTGTGACATAGTAGCTTCTTGTTACTAGTAGCGATGGCCTCCAACCTACTTGCGATGGTCCCACCTAATACTGTCCTTGCTACAGGTATTTGACCTTTGTGTTGCTGGTTTGCTTGACCGCGGTGATGGGAAACGCTTGGGGCTACCTGGCTTCAGCCGCTGGGGGGCGTGCAGAATACGCTTTCGCCGTTTTCCTGTTGACCGTCTTCCCCTTCATGATCTTCAATGGACACTTGGCAGTGTTGAGAGGCCATCGCTACTAGGTTGGAGGCCATGGCTAGTAGGTTGGAGGCCATCGTGGCAAGACGACAGCCTGCTTGTGTGTTTCCGCAGGATTCCTGATCACCACAGAGGAAATCCCCATCTACTTCAGGTGGATCGAGTATGTCGGCCCCTTCAAGCCTGTATTTTCAGAGAGCCTTGGTGGATAACCATTAGGAGACAAGAACTATCTAACCAAAAGGAGTGCAACATGTTTCTGCAACAAGATGGTGAAGGAACTAGTCCCTGCGTTTGCCACTTCCCGCTCCACACTGAGCTCAATTGAATCTTAACAAGAAGCTACTAGGAACAAGTGCATCGCTTTACTAGTAGTAACAAGAAGCTATTAGAAACAAGAAGCCATTAGTAACAAGTGCATCGCTTCTAGTAACAAGTGCCTTACTAGTAGTAATAAAAAGCGAATAGGAGCAAAGGGCACCGCTACTAGGAGCAAGGACGCTACTAGGGGCGATCGGACGCTACGCAGTTTGCTACGAGCGCTTCGACGCGGTGACGATGTGAGGATGATGGTGACTATTTGGAACAGTCGTGAACTTGAATGTGCCTTGGGCGAACGGATGTGTTTTTTCTTTTTGCCCGTGGTCTTGCTGTGTTTAATTAAGGGAGCTAGGACGCTTCTAGCAACTGGACGCAGGATAGCTCACGCTTCCTTGAGCAAGCGCTTGCACTAACGATTTGGTTCCTAGATTTTTGGGTAAACTATGTGTTTCCTTTTTGCATTCCTTTGTTTATAAAACATGTTTTCAGTGGAGTGCTTCAAAGTCTTGAGGTTCAGTTGGGGTTGCTCTGCCTGCGGAATTGCCAAGCACCTGAATACAGCTAGAGGGGGCTGCCCCTTTGGTTTCTCCCTTCCTCACCTGGTCCTGCTAGTTTTCAAGTTTCTGAAGGACGATGTGGTGACGCATAGTGCAGTGAGGTGTGGTGATGCAGTGATGCACCTGTTACTAGTAGCTTTTTGCTCCTAGGAGTTGTTGATGTATTGTTATAGGATCCTTGCCTTATTGTCCCTTATTCTTCCGTCTAATAGCAATGGCCTCCAACCTAGTAGCAATGGCCTCCACCTACTAGCGATGGCCACCAACCTAATACCAATGGCCTCCATTCTAACAGCGATGGCCTCCAACCTAATAGGGTTGGAATCCAACCTAATAGCGATGCCCTCCACCCTAGAAGCAATGGCCCCCCAACCTAACGGCGAAGGCTTCCAACCTAATAACCATGGCCTCCAACCTGATAACAATTGCCTCCAACCTGATAGCGGTGGCCTCCACCCTAGAAGCCATGGCCAAAATTCAATAGCGATCGCGTCCGACCCAGCAGCGATGGCCGATGGCCTCCAACCTAATAGCGATGGCCTCCAACTAATAGCGATGGCCTCCACCTACTAGCGATTGCCTCCAACCCAATAGCAATGGCCTCCACCTACTAGCGGTTGCCTCCAACCCAATAGCAATGGCCTCCACCTCCTAGCGATTGCCTCCAACCCAATAGCAATGGCCTCCACCTACTAGCGATTGCCTCCATCCCAATAGCAATGGCCTCCACCTACTAGCGATTGCCTCCAACCCAATAGCAATGGCCTCCACCTACTAGCGATTGCCTCCAACCCAATTGCGATTGCCTCCAACCCAATAGCAATGGCCTCCACCTACTAGCGATTGCCTCCAACCCAATTGCGATTGCCTCCAACCCAATAGCAATGGCCTTCACCTACTAGCGATTGCCTCCAACCCAATAGCAATGGCCTCCACCTACTAGCGATTGCCTCCAACCCAATTGCGATTGCGTCCAACCTACTAGCGATGGTCACCCATCCCAAAACTACACCGTTCCCCCTACGCATCCGCCCTGCATGTCGCGGAGTGAACTCTGGCCGAAAGAAGTCCATGTGTCTTGCGGCTGCGCATGCTCATTAACAGGTATTTACGGTTCTTGTCGTATTTTACCATTGCCCAACTCGAAAGTTTGTTCGATTTGCGTTGACACACGCCATTGTGTAAAGTGAACTGAGGCCCGCAGTCGGGACCCTGCCCTTTCAAAACTGGCCAAGATGTTTTGCGGCTCCGCGGTGCCGCGGCAAAGTTTAGTGCGCGGGGCGGGTGCCACTGGTGTCGGGAGTCTGCAAGGAAAACATGCGCTAAGCTGCCGCCCATGAGGCTTACACAAGAATTTGCTTTAGTGCCTCAGCGCTTTCACCCCTGTTTGATTCTTTTTGTCATTTCAGCATCATGTGTCTGGAGGTTTGGCAGACGTGGATCACGTTTACAACTGGGTGCAACTTGGCTTCCAGACTCCTATGCAAGCGCGTTTTAGAAAGCTTTGTTGGTGAAGCATGTGTTTGCCAGGATCTTGCAAGTGTCTCACTTTGAAGTAACACTCAGACGTGGCAAAGCCCTCCGACCCTCATCCAGAATCAAAAAATCACAAACCTGTGGCTCATGGTTGCACACGCTGGGTCACAACACGTTTACATGAGACAAATGTAGCGCCATAGGATTGTGATTGGAGTCTATTTGGTGGGCGTCCGCTTGCTTGCTTGGGGCGTCATGGTGTTCCTTGGCTGAGTTACACTTTCACCAAGGCGGGGGACCTTTTGAAGGAGCAGGGCGGGCACGAGACATGATTGTAGAATATTGTAGGTAGATAGGAAGTCGTTGAGCTCGCAGGAGGTGCGCATTTTGAGTTTCCATTCCAAGCAAGTGGCCGCCAAGTGGCTGCAAGTGACTGCTACTTCTGTCCGGAGAATATCATGATTTCTCCGCACGCAGCTCTGGAGACAACGACGATTTCTGCAATGCTGTTCTGCGAATAAATTCTGGTTTTCTCCAGAGCTGCGCGCGGAGAAATCATGAAATAATCCAAGACTTGTTAAAGAATAAAGTCCAAACCTCTGCAGAGCTAGCGACGAAGAAATCTTGCAGTTTTTACATAAAGAACTCCAAGTGCACGTGTTGAAGTTTGCTTGAGTGACAAGTGGCTGCCTGAGCAAGTGGCTGCCAGTGGCTGCAAGTGACTGCGAAACCAAAGTCAATATTCGTCATTTGCTCGCTCTCTGTGGGAAGTGAAAAAAACTTATGCCTTCCACTAACGCTACCAATATTACTACCACCACTACCACCACTCTGCTACAATTACTACCACCACCACTGCTGCTACTACCTACTACTACTACTACTACTACTACTACTACTACTACTACTCTTGCCGCTGCTGATTTTGAGTTTGCGTTGAGCAACCCGCGCCATGTTTACCGTTGCGTTTCGCGTTGCGCTGGCGTGGGTCTCTCAGGTTACGCTTGCGCCTGGCGGCCTCCAATGTTTCTCAGACCTCGAAGACTTCAAAGAGCTCCAAGAAGGTGGCTGACACGGACGGAGTGGCACATAGTAACGAAGCTTGGAATGACTTGAAACAACGTTGTGTCAAATGTCGTCAGGGCTTGGCAGGAAGCGCCTTACCATGACATGACTATCTTTTGATGTGGCGAGGGGGCCAACCTCAAAATTATTGAATTGGGACAAAAATGTTTTGATGTTCAAAAGCCCTGACCAAGGAGATCGCGTAGGAAGCCGTATTGCCAACCTGATTTTCCCTCTCCACTGCTTGAGACGCGCCGGATTGGTGCCTTTTTAAGCTGCTTGGAGATTTTGTCGCAAACTGTTTGCTTTAGATTTCAACGGTTTGTCTTCAGAGGCGCAGGTTTGGCGATTTGAGTTCCTGTGTCGAAGACATGGAACTGCACTTTGGGAATTGAGGTTGCCCGCTCAAATGTTGCATGTGGCATGCTCAAGTTCCAACGGATTGGGATTTTCAGGCACGTGAACCAGGCCCGGTTTCGAAACCCTAAGGTTTGACACGGAGGGTGTCAACTTGTACCCCAAAAGGGGCCCATACTCATGAGAAACCCAATTCCGATTCAATTTTGCCGCTGCCAACAGGCCCAAATCGGTTTGGCTTGCAGACTGTTGGGCGTCAAAAAGATTCGCATGACTTACTTTCCTCTGTCACAGTCTGTCCAAGTCTAGTCTGTCCAGGTTGTGGCGATGTGTGAGTCAGCTGATGATGAACCGATGGCCTAGGGGAAAACGTTCAATCAAACAGAATGGAGGGTGAGGGTGGGAGGTTAGTTTTGTCTTGAGCTTGAAGTAGCAGGCAGGCAGCAGGACTCAATGCAAAGGAGACACAATAATCACAGTGAACATTTGCCCGTGAGTCTGGGGAAAGGGGTAAGACGGCGGTGGATAAAGGCCCCTAGTAGCGTCCTTGTTCCTAGTAGCGATGCCAGGAGCTCCTAGTAGCGTCCTTGCTCCTGGTCCATCCTTTTCCTGGGACTAGGTTGGGACGCTACTAGGGGCTCCTGGCCATACTACCAGGAACAAGAAGCTACTAGTCCTGGCATCGCTACTAGAAGCAAGGGCGCTCGTCGTGCGACAGGGCTCAAGGTACCGGCCGGCGCTTGGAGAGGCCTGTCAAGAGGGGTCAGGTGGACTTCTTGGGTGGAAATGGATATGAAGCGAGAGGAAAGCGTTTGCTAAGGACTACACGAGTTCATGCACAATGGCACCTTCGCCAGACTGGAAAAACCACCTTTCCTGATAGCTGAAATTGGCTTGATAACACAGACATTGAAGAAACAATTTAAGGACAACGCGGCATCGCTCAGATTAATGCAGATTTTGTGAGCAATATCCAAACTAGCAACCTCAGTGCCGCAAAGTGTTTGGTCTATGACGGGGCAGATGCTGAAGATTTCACAAACAGCGATGCAGCCAGAAACTTCTTGGATGAAGGAGGTATCTTGATCAACAATCCGTACCTATCAGCAGAAACAGCCCTGGCCAAGTTCAACGAGACAGCAAAGTTGCGAGAGGAGATCGAGAAGAGCAGTCTTTCGGAGGTGACAGCGTTGACAGAGTTGGTAAAGCGGTTTTCAGGTCTTACAGTTTTCAAGAGTTGTCCTGGTTGAATTCAGTTGCTTGCTTTGCTTGCTGTGTTTGTTTCTGCCAGAATCGACACCAGAACCGTTTGGGTGAGGCAATTGAACAAGGACCGACAAGAGTCGCGCGTGCTTGAAAGCGAAAGAAATGCAAACAGTTGGTTGAGCTGCGGTTCGCAAGGTTGATGGTGCCGCAATTTTCCAAACCAAAAATGATGGGTAAGTCCGCCAAACAAAAGCACAGTGTTTTGTTCTTCGGGTTCAGGACTTGGGAGATTGCAGGGTTGTTCATTCCTCAGGATTTGTTGAAAGATCTTTTCCAAGTGCGTTCCTTAAATTAGAGAGGATTTTTAGACTAAAGGCTTTGTGCGACTTTATGCAATGCCCTTGTTCGCCTTTTTCGTTTGCAATCCCCCTTTTGGCAGGTTTAGGATGAACTTTGAAAAGTTCCACCTTAAAATTAGAGGCATTGAACGGTGCTGGAACGGTTGAACATTTGCAACGTTGTTGTTACATTTGTTCCTTTCATTTGTTGCCTTGCATGGTTCTTGTTCTAAACCGGTGTTGATTGGTCATGTTGTTCAAAGTTGGGTTGTGTTCAATAATGTCTCCCCACTTACGCATCAAACCCTTTGTGCAAACAGCCACTTCGACAGTTGATGCCTTTGTTGCTTTTCGAAGTTGCTTGGACTAGTGTTAGGTTGCAAGTGGCTTGTTCACTCGCCCAGCGCCTTTGAACGCTATGTGTTTAAAATTGCAATGGTATAGCTTAAAGCCACAGGACATGATGGAGCATGACGAAGAACTCAAACTGCTCCAACAAAGAAATTTGCAAGTCTGCTGGAGGAATTCCTGGCAGAAAAAGAAAGACAACACTGTGGTTGAAACTGGAACTTTCCAAACCTGCTTACACGACATTAGCCTCCGAGCCTCAACTGATCACCAATCACCAACCTGTCCTGCCAAGCCTGGATCGGTGATGGAGTCTCGGAAGCAAGCGGTTTAGGTAGGAAAACCAAAGAAAACCACGAAAGAATCCAAGGCTCAGAATCTCAACACTCTTATGAGCAATTTGCATCAATCTGCAATCATTGCTAAACCGAGCAAACACCGTCAGATTTGGTGTGAAGCTGTCGGGATTCAATGTTGGCCTCAAAAACCACGAGTGGGGAACCTGCGCCACTCGCTCTAGGCCCGGCTGCGGAGTGGCAAGATGATATGAACAGGATGTTCGACGATGACTTATGTATCCTCTGTCTGCTCAACCGAAAGTTCTAGATGTTTCCAAGATGCCAACAGCCGCAGATCAGAGACTGAAACGTATTTATATGTATTTATAAGTAATTAGTTCAAAGGTGTTCGAATCTGTTTGGCATCAGCAGGTCAAGGCTTTGGATGATTCTGGTATCGTGTTGTTCGTTCTTGGTGTGCACGAGAACTCTTCCAGCAACTCCATTTACTGCCTTCGAGCTGTCGGGAATCCGCTTGCTGAACATGGACATCAGTTTCTGTTTCACGTAAAAGCTCCACAAAGAGATGGCGGTTCACTGCACGAGTCTATGCAAAGAGAGGCGGCTGGATCCACTCAACCGGCAAGTTATTGGTGTTGATCCACACAGTCAGTGGGTACAGCAAGCCTTACTGGAATTTAGAGCCTGGCGAAAAGAACGCGACTAAGATGGCCAATGAGAGAAGATGACTGTGTCGTGTTTGATGATTTGATGACAGGAAGCACAAACATCGTACGTGCGGCCAGGTTCTTCACTTTTTGTGCTTACATGTACGTCTCCACATGTATTGCACCCACAGTATGCCCGTCCCTCAGCCCATGAACAATAAAAATTGTGGTCTGTCGAGTCGGCCTTGCAAGCGCCCGTGAATCTGCCGTTGGGCTGAAGAGGTGGAGCCGAGGAGCCCTACTTGCACGGTCCATGGAGAAATAGAGAGTACCTCCCTTTCGACCGTCATTCCGTTTAGAAGACGCAATGGCCCTGGCTGGCTCGCCACTCTTCCACAAGGCGCAGATGTGCGTTTATTATGTACGTGGTGGCTTTTGTTGAGATGCGAAAGGCTATCGCTTCTAGGGTGGAGGCCATCGGTCTTAGGTTTGAAGCCATTGCAATGAGGGCCGCTAAATCAGGCAAAATCTGCGGGCAGTAATGCGCCAGGGAGTGTTTTGTAAGCTATGTTCATTTGTTTGGATGCAGACCCAGACAAACAGATAGAAACAGAGCTTTGAGGTCAGATCATGTCAGATCCATGAGAGAACCTGGCCGGAACCTCTGAGAACATAGAAATACGATCTACCTCCATACACACTTCTATTTTCCAAAATATATCATGTGTTCTATTAACTGTTCTATATTCGTTTCCCACACGCCATGTGACAACTGTTCGTTGAGTCCATTTGAGGCCATTTGGGCCTGTGATGGCCTTCGCTGGAAACCTTACGAGCTGGTGGGCGGACTGTCGGCCGTGCAAAACGCCAATGGTTGGGCCTCTCATTCGAAGGCCGGGCCGCCCGGTTTGGTTTTGGTTCTTTTCATTTGCAATTTTCCACTCTGGTTTCGATATCGGCCCACGACCCACTGCTCGAAAATCAAGGATCAAACTTGTCATCCCGTTCCGAGCTTGATTCCGTACCAGGCCGAAGTCGCATGAGATGAGCACTTGGAGATCTTTGGAGGTCGGACTCGGTAAGTTCGTGTCATATGTTGTGCCATGTCGTGCCGCTGGGACCGGATACCGGATGGTCTGGGGTTTGCACCCATGCGGCGGATGGGTGGAATGCCAGTCACTGATTTGATTCGTTCAGAGCTTGTTTTTGAGACTTTTGAAGCTCTCAGGTCAAACCAAATCATTGAGAAGAGAAAGAAGTTGAAACTCTGTTGCACTCTCCAAAAGTTCCTTTCCTGTTCAACCACATTTGATTGTGCCACTTTCTCCACCAAGGCGCGGTCCTCATGTTGGCAGAGCTGCCGACCCAACCATTGTCTTGGCAGTGATGAACCCCAGTCAGTTTCTTTAAGGCTTGCAATTACGAATGGTCCAATGGTTTTTGCGAGATAGCACTTTCAAAACTCGAGATCAACCCAAGAACTTCTGCCACCAGAATTGCACCACTGGAAGCGTGAAGCAACGAAAGCTGGCACCTATCATCCATGCGACGCCTGGAACCAGTTTCTTCGAGGGGTCATGTCGAGTTTAGTGCATGGAATGAATGAGCGTTTTGTTTTCCACGAGAAGAAACATGACTCACTCCAGGTACCAATTTTCGTAAAGCTCCAGATCATTGTCACAGTCTCCATTTTTCTGCCAATGTTGATCTTCCTTCTAGGCGCCAGCGCGTGCGCATGGGCTCTCCTCCCCACCAGTATGCGCTTGCTGGGAGCCTCGCTGTCCAAGGGTGTGGTGGCTGATGAGCCAAGCAAGATAAGCAAGCTGCGCTTCACCAGTTCATATCTGAACCACAACAATTTGCTCAACTTCGTACCCATGACTTTCCTCAGAACCACTCGTAGATTGGACAATATATGATAATAATGTTCATTCTGACACTCCACGCAAAAAGTAGATGGTCGCGATTTTGTCGGTTGCGCCATCAATATTTAGGGCACTTGCAAGCCTCTACCAGTGAGAGCTCATGTTCCTATCTATTTCTTCCAGACATGGGAGGGATAAATCATCAACCTCAAAAAACCTTGTGCCATCTACTTTTGCCTGACATGCCCCGGGGATTGTGCCATCTACTTGACTGTTATCATGCACTGGTCTGAAAGCTAGGTCAATGGAGTGTGAAGTGGAAGCAGAATGAAAAGGGAAAGGCAAGGGAAGGAGATGGAAGGAATGGAGTTAAAAAAGGAGAGGGGAGGTGAGGAAATTAAACAAACAACACATATATAAAAGGCAAGAGAAGGAGAGAACAGGGAAAAAAACAAAACAAAACAAAGGCAAGGGACAAGGAAAGGCGTCAAAAGGAAATCCATTGCCATGAATGGAAATAGAAATGAATCAGCAGGAAATCAAAAGGCTAGATGGGTTGTGCCATCAATTCTGAGTGCACACATGTACCTCTCAAATAGGTCAATCGAGTTGGAACTGGGGACATGTCAAGCAAACGATTTGCACAGGAAATGCATAGGCATCCGCAGAAAATCCATAGCCATGACAGAACTCAGAAACAACAGGAAATCAAAAGGCTAGATGGTCCCAATGCTTTGGATTGCGCCATCAATTCTGAGCGCACACCCATCCTACTCCCCACGGGAGCGTAAAAAACCTTGTGCCATCTACCCCCCCTGGGGGTGCCATCTACTCACCCTCCCAT